CTGTTCTATATATATAGATATGGTTTAAAAGTATTTGAGCATACTTCATTAGCTCAAACTCAACTGTTATGTAAATAATGACTTTCAGATCTTGTATGTGCTAGAACACAATCTCAGTAGTTCATTTCTGCATTTAGATAAATTCCATATTTCCAAACTTCAACAATATTTGTAAATAATGTATTTTATTTTCTATCAGGCACATTATTGTTAATAATGTGTTTTACTCTTACCTATAAGGTACCTTACAAGCATGCAATATCATAAAGGTGTAGATTTATCCAGATTATATATGTTAAGATAAATGGGATATATCCACATAGCAGAATTTTATGTTAAGATTGTAACATGACATATAAGGATTTGAAAGTAATTAGATACTTTTTCATAGTAGTTAAAATACACGAAATGCAAATAAATGTAATTAAATACATAAATACAGGTATAAATACTGAAATCGAATAGCCAAATTGCATTGCCAAAAGTATAAGCCATTGTGAAGGTCGCTTCACGCTTTTATTATTTGTCATATAAAACTGTAAAGGAATTTTGTAAAGAGATTTAATTAATCTCTTGTTCCTATTAAACTATTAGATAAATTATTTTCTGCTTTTAGTTCATTAATTATATTTTTTTATATTTAATACAGTTTTAAATAATAAGTGTACATTATAATTAATTATATTCTGAGTTTTAAATAACAAAATAAGCTTTTATTTAAAACGTCTAGGCAGCATTTTAAATAAAATCTTATTATAGAAAACCTTTTTATTTTATAAGGTACTTCCTTCTTGCTTTCCTCATGCTTTTGTGGAGTAAATGTAGGCAGGCTCGACGCGTATTCGGGAGGTCCGCAGCTTGAATGCCGGCGAGAGCATTTCTGATTTGTTCCGTTTCCTCACATCTAAAATTTCTAAATGACTCTACAAGTGGTGCAGAAACAAAAAGTAAGTGGACGATATTTCGTCACGATAGAGATTTGGCGACTGGGTCCCCTCATCTCCAGTCGCCCCTTAAAAAGGGGATTATATAAGGTATTTTCTTCCTCCTTTCCGCGTGCCTTTGTGGAGTAACTGGAAGCACGTTTGACGCGTATTTCGGAGGTTCGGATTTCGAATCTCGGCGAGGTTAATAGAGGATTTCTTCAATTTCTTAGCATTGGAAAATTCTAATGACTATAATTTTCATATTTATTTATTTGTTTGTTTGTTTATCAAAGTATGACGCAAAAGTTTATAAAAGTTATCATTTAAATATAAATTTGATGAATACATTGAACAAGATACAAGCCCAAATACACAACAATATAAGCAAATATATATATATATATATATATCAAATTAAAGCTTTGGTCACATTTATTACGCTTATGTTTAGCGCTTCTACGGATTCTTGACGGATTGAACTATGCTATTTTATTTATTTTTACATTATTTATTTACTTAGTTTAAAATTACGATAGAAATTCTTTTGCTTTGCATCTTTGTATTAATAAAGCCTTCGAACTTCAAATGGGTAACCCACTTAGCAGTAAATGATAAACGCTAATTTCCAAAATGATAAAATACGGTATAGTAATGTCGTAAGAAAGTATTAAATTATTTCGCAGTTTAAAAATGCAATAGGTAAATTATTGATTAAGAAGAACTGTATGATATGGTAATAGCTCTAAAGTAAACTTATGTCTGTTTTCATAGTAAATGAGATCACATGCCTACAGAAAAATATAGGTTGGCAAGATAAATTTTTCGTCTCTTATTTCCTTCCAGTGACAAAAAGTGAGAAGTTTCTTATGTGAAATGCTTAAATCTTTTTCAAAATACTTCTTGAAGGATAGCAAAGACTTGAAATAGCATTTCTATTTCAAAACAATTTGCTTATTATTGCCAAATTGGCTACATTATCGCATGTTTCAAGTTTGCACAGAAATTCTATCAAATATGCATTTAAACGTTTTAAATACATACTTTATAGTTCCTCTCTGTCATTTATTAGCTTCCATTTTCATTAAATCTGAGCTGCTTGGAAATTTCTAGACATTTTTTTTAACTTACATAATTCGAAACAACCTGTCTTTGGCTACATTTAATTAAGACAGTCAATACAAAACCAGCGAATTATTTGAAGATCATAGTTTGTGTATATTGCCAGCGAGTACCTAAGTAAAGTAGAATATGTGCGTTTTGATTGTTTCCCGCTTAGCGTTTAAATTTGCTAAGTAACTTCCATAAATTTACCTGATGTTTATCTCACAGTCGGATCCGCAAACAGCTTCCGTAGTAGATGCAGAGTGGTTCTAATTTATTCAAAAACTTCTTGAGTCTTTTTAATCTAAGAATACTCATTTATATTCCCAAACTCTAGTCTGCGTTATAAAAGTCATAATCATTCTTCATGTTTCATAATTTACATAAAACTGCGTTTAACCTTGAGAATAAGAACGTAAATGCAGAACGCCCGCTAGGACGGAAAATTATAAAGCAGAAAGTTGTACGTATGTGCAATTTTTGCTTTGCTTACTTGTTTATTTGATGCTATGTAAAAAGTGATTATGTCATTATCTGGAAATGATATTCATAATGAAAATAAAAAGGAAATGTTGCGCAGCTTCCATTTTGTAAGAAAAAAAAAATAAATTTCCCGAAGGTCGTATTGTTTGTAGCTCTTGTTTATGCATTATTGAAATAAATTTTTTATGTGCTAAGGAATTTACAGGAACGAACGAGAATAAAAGACAGGAAATAGTTAAAGGATCTGTAAGAAGAGATAAGTACTATATAAAAAATAAAACTTTGAAGACACTGTTCAGTTATGATACCTTATCATTAGGATTATGACAGAGATGCCTTCGATTAAATATGGCAGGTTAGATTATGACAGAAATGCCTTCGATAAGATATGATAGGTTAGATTATGACAGAGATGACTTTGATAAGGACATTTTAAGGAAAACTGACTTGTATTCATGTAACATATGGCAAAAAACGCGAAAAATCCTTTTCATCGGATTGAAATGGGAGTTTTCGCTAATTACCTGTGTTTAGCGGTTTTGCCGTTCGGTCGTTGGTGGGCTACGAACTTTCAGATACATCAGACATTTACACTTGTAAAATTTTATGAGGACTTTTATAGTCTGCTAATGTTACTAATTTTTTTTTTTTTTTTTTTTTTTTTTTTTTTTGTTTCAAACGCAACTAATTTTGCGAGTATTTTGTTTTTAAAATCTGAAGAGTATTTTTAAAACAATTCACTCTCAATTGAGCTTCTGCTTTAATAAGTTAGTAGAGTATGCAAAGTGCTGCATGATCAAATATTTTACTATCCGTAATTCAGAAATATAACTATATATCCTTGAAGAAAACTACTGTATGTAACATATTTGAATATTCAAACTGAGCTATATTTCTTAAATATTTTGAGAGCTATATGACAACAAACTAATGACTGATGTATCTGAAGCTAAATGTATCTGAGAGGTTGATGATAAATGTACCTTTGCTGAAAATATTTTATTTTAATAGCTTTGTAATTACAGTTGGTAATATTTAACACAGAACTCCATTATAAAAAAGTCTGTAGTTTAATTAGGCTAAGAAAAAAGTCCACAAAAATAAAGAGGTTAGGATTATACGTAACTATTATCATTTAAATATTTCTCATATTTATTGAATTATAAACGAAATAGTTGCTAAGATTCAAAAGCGTTTTTAAAGAAAACATTTTGCGTAGTGAAAAATATTTTTTCTCTTCCATGTTTTATTTCCACTATTAGCAGTAAAGTAAAATTCCTTTCAAAAACCTACACATACCAAAGGAAACAGAATAAAGATTGTGTTACATTTAAATCAAAATGGTTCCTTGTAATTTAAATCACTATATAGTAGAAAACAGAAGTAAAAAATTGTGATGCATTTGGGGGGGAGTACGTTTTATAAGTGCCTTACTCTTTCCATTTCTGTGAAATACAAAAAGGCATGATAAGGTCTTTCGATGTAGTATCTTTTTTAATGCTTTATTTATTTTACGAGAATGACACATTTTATGGTGATTTATCTTTGAGCATAAGACATTAAAAACTCTCTTAATGAGTTATGCGAGTATTTTTAATTTTTCATTATACAGTAAGGCAAATTCTTCAGATGCATTGCTGCTTATTTAAAAAAAACAATAGATATTAAAGACAAGTATTAAAAAAGTAGAGCACAAAACGATTGTTCTAACATACATTATTAAATAACATAATAAAAATAGTTTTAATGTACAGTTTGATTATTTACAGCAATTTAATTGAACAGTCTTAAAAATCCCATGAAACGCATGTTAGCTTAGAGAAAAGAATAACATTTTTAGCAGCCGCTGATGTTTAAAACGAACCTGATTTTCTTTAAAGTATTACATCTTCCCCCCCTCAACTGACAAGAATTTTCCATTACAAAAATACACGTATAAATGAATTTCTTTTCGATTTACCAATAAATTTTTGTGAACGCATAATTTTGTGGAATTTGAAATGCGTTATATAAAATGTTTAAGGGGATGATTACAAAAATATATGTACTACAAGTTTTTGCATATATATGTATTTGCTTTTAATCTAAAAATGTTTTTTCTAAACGATAAAATAATTGTTGCAAAGGAAAAAAAGTCAGAAAGGTATTTATTTAGCAAAGTTTTAATCCTTTTTAAGCAGTATATCCCTTAAAATAAATACTTTTACACTATAATATATTTTCTATTATTTTTATATGGAAAACTTACTCACTAAAAATTAGAAAAAAAAAAAAATACAGAAAACTAAGAGCAAATGAGAGAGAGCGAAAAAAGTGTAAGACTGTTACTTTGCGATGTGTAAGTAAATACTTAAAATTTAGTTTCGTTTTACAACGGAAATACTATTTAGCATTAAACAGACACACAAGTATATTCTTTTCGCTTTCTTTCGGCAAACACATATTCCAGTTTCCTTTTTTTGTTGTTGTCTAAAACTGTCTGATACTTACGCAGAAGGGCACACTAGTATTCAGCTGATGAATAACTTCTATGACAAAATAAAATAGAACTGTCATCCATTGCAGAGAACAGCTTTCTTTCTTCAAAAAACATGTGATATCCCATTGCAAAATGATTTGAAGTCACAACCAGTGAGCAATGCAACTCAGAAAAAGGGAAGAGGTGGCTTAGCAAAAACTACAATCCGAGGGAGTCGCTGTAAATATAGACTTTTCTCCCGAAGCAGTTCTCAAGGAGAATCTTGATACAACGTGAGATAGCTTTGGCAGAGCAACTGTGAGAATTTAACGGATAGAGAAAGTGTGACTACGCAAAGTTGCCAAAACATGATGTATGTAACCACCGATAGAGCCTGAGAAAGAAAGAAAGTGCTTTTGGAACTAGATATTTCAGAGAGGTGTTTAAACTAAGTAAGCGATAAAAACGATCCTCCCCTTCCCCTAAATTTCCTAAGAGTTTTGGATCACAAAAGCTCATTTATCTCAGTCACGAAAGGAATTTCATAATCGAGATAAATGATATGGTATAGATGAATGATTTCCAAATGATTTGGTGATCGAGAAAATTTATTTCGAGTAAGGACTCCAAAATCCCTGAATTCCAAAAACGAATAATTCCGGAAAATAAATATGTACTGATTTTACCAGCTGCTTTTATTAAGGAATTAAAGAAAACATATTTTTGAAACAGTACTAATTAATTAATTTATTATTGCTGTCGATTCAGATAAGCTTTGACATTTTGATTTCTTTAATGGCTTATTTTAACGAAAAGGTATGCTCTAATCCTTACCTTACCGAAGGCACAAACTTTAGTAATTATTGAATTCTGCGCCCTTTTGCAAAAATTGTATTGGTAGACGTGTTGGATAAAGTTGCTTTTATATCCAGTTACTTATAAAAAATCTTTTATAACGATTACATAACCTCTATGAAACCTATTTCTTATAAGTAATTTTGTCATTATGTCTTCACTTTCTAATGCAACGTAAAACTAATCAGATTATGAAAAGATCTTAATGCAAAAATGTTGCAATATTTTTACATCATGTATTGTTTATATTATATTACATCATGTATTGTTTATATTATATTACATCATGTATTGTTATTTACCGGTATTCAACACCTTCTGCTGAATACATTTAAAAAAGCAACTGTGTTCTTAGCGTAGTAGCAGCATATGGTGATAGCAAACGGCTATATTTCTTGAAGTATGTACAATATTGCTAGAAAAGACTGCAAATAGTTATAAACTGAAAACAGTGAAATATTTCATTTTTATCTTTCTGTTTTCTAATAAAATATTTTATGTTTATTTTTGCCAACTAATTCAAAATATTTATTTATTTCGTATTCGTTCTTTGACGTCTCTAGTAAAATATTTCATTTTCATGAACTGGCCTAGAAATTTCCTTCATTTGTATAGCAACTAAAAATACATGTCTTTATAAAGGAAGCTTAAAGAACTATAGATTAAGAGATTTTTGTTTTATAAATTTGAGTTTGTGCTTTTATAATCTAGCTTTTCGCCATTTAAAAAAACTTAGCATTTAAGAAATTTTCAGCTATTTCTCTAAAACGTATTTTAAACGCATTCAACTAGATACCAAACTGGAAGTAAAACACGTCAGAGTAAAATTTAAAATCAGGAGGGAGAAAAAAATTCCTTCGTTTAGAGTAAATTTTTGGTAAAACTTTATCGATTTCGAAAACTATCAGATATAAATCCCTCTTCTTCACGAGAAAATAAAATCGAAAAAAAAAAAAAAAAAAAAAAAAAAAAAAAAAAACGTAGTCGTTTCTGAAGAAAAGGAACCATTTGTCATTCCTGAAGAAGACAGACTCGGGTCTGATCGTCTCGAAACACAACGAGATTTATTTAAAATCTAGTCTAAACTAAGATTGTTTTTATTTGCTTAACCTCAAGCCATTTAAATGTATTAGAAATTATTCAAAATATGTTATCCATGTTTTCATGAAAATAAGACACACAACCTACATGGAATTAAAAACGGCCCTCATTGTGAGTAGCAGAGAAATATATATAATATTATGCATGCTGGGAAAAGAAACTACAACGTATTTGATGTTTTCTAGGTATTGATTAACAAAATTTTACAATTTTCTCTTTCATTTCACTCCTTTCGTATTAACAATGTCAATCTTAAATTCAGTATATACTGCGTTAAAGCCATTTAGTATGTCAAGCACTCTCGTAATTCCTGTCATGTGAATACCGTCATTATAGGACGGAAATTGAAAATAATTGGCATTTTCCTAAAAAATAGAGCAAAGTATAAGAGCACTTAGGCAGTTCACCCGTTCTGCAGCCGGAAATCGAACCTGAGACACAGTAACTAGTGCTTCAGATTTCTACCCATGTAGCCGCTTTTGGGCGCTCAGTAGATCGATCACAATTTCAGATGGCTGTGAACTGAAATGTTTTAATAAATGTAGTTTCCAAACGTTTTCATAAATTATTTAACTCCTTTTGAAAGGTAAGGCAAAATTCTCAAAAATGTACCTCGCACTCTGATTATTAATAAGTTTTATTGAAACAAAACTATATAATTTCCCATTCATATTTTAATTGCTGAAGTCACAGTTTAAAAATGTTTGTGTGCCATAACTTAGCGGAATCTATTGTCATTTAAAGAGAAACAAAGTATAAACTCAGAAAGTAAGCTGATAATTGTGTCAATAAAGCAATCAAAACTTACACGGGATGTTTACGTTAAAAATTATTTTTATAACTTTTATTCTAATTATTAAAATTTTACTGTTTCCCAGATTTAATCAAGATAGTTGTTTCTTTCAATCTGCAAGTTTCATAAATCACCAAAGAATAAGATGCAAGATATTATCAAATGCGATATATGAAACTTGAAACTTACCTGAGGGAACACATTTTACCAAAAACATGGGTGTCCAGTGCATTAAGGAAAAGAAAAATGCTTGATATAGATTAACATGTGCATCTATCAGATATTCGTTGAAGAATAAATGCGCGTGCTGTATATTTATACGTGATACCCAGTTTACCCTTGAAGAGCGTTCGTATGAAATGAATCAAAATCGATATACTCCATCAGCTCAACTGAAAAAAAGGAAGCAACAACAACAGCAAAAAAAGGTTAACTTACTTTCTTCATAGCTGATAGAATAGCGTGTTATTATGAAACTGATATAAACGCAAACTACGGTGAACTAGACTAGTTGCCGTAACAACTGTGGAAAGCTCTCACAGCTGGTTTGACAGAAAAAGAATAAACAAGGCTTGAAAAATCACGTGATAACAGTAGACTGTAAAACACAGGATGTCAAAATTTTGAGACTTTGTGAATGCGTGACAGTAGCAAAAGAAAAAACGCAAGTCTAAAAAAAGCTCAAACTACCCCCCCTTCTTTTTCATGTATAACTCTGAAAGATTATGGCAAATGCAACTGCATTTTTTTTACTTATATTTATTACTTGGGTTATTTTAACATATTGCTACGGACCTGTTTCAAATTTAATTTAAAACGTTTCACGGTAAAAAAGCTGTTATGTTTTTACATTCAATACAGTATTATAGATTTAATTGTTTTAGTACTTTAAGGAGTTTTTCTTCTTCTTCTAAATTTAACTCTAAATGATTTGTGGTAGATATTTTCTTAGACTTAAAGACAACAGAGGACTTAGACAGAGAGAAGCAGTTGAAAATAAACAATGTTTCTTCCTGGAGTCGAGCATGGGTTCTTCGAATAATTAGCTTGATATGCTTATTCATTGTGACATCACGGGAGAGCGTGGGGCAGATGCCCTAAATTTGTCACTCTTTATTTTTATTTTAATACTTTAATATTTTCCGAAACTTTTTCAAATTCAACTTAAGATTCATAGTAAATTCATAGCTAGGTAGTATTAAGATAATATTTTTTTTTATTTAAAGTCTTCATGCCGTTTTTATACTACAAATGGCATTCTTATTGTGCATAATTAATTAAACTATAGGTAAACATAAGTAAACACAATAGTAAATGTTTTAATAAATATAGTACAAATAACAATACAAATAGTATAGCGCTACAAAATAATAAAGTACATTGTGTTGGGGATTAAATTTTAACACACTTTCTTGCTCAGATGCTGCTATAAAGTAACACATTTTGGGGGATATTATTGTAGTCACTATCAGGTGTTTATATGTGAGATCACTGACAGTTATAATATGAGTGTTAAAATTATCACAGTTAACCCGTTAACTACTTCTGAGGTGAAAAAACATTTTTCGAAGGATTTTTTATCTGATAGTTATATAATGTATTTCCACCCTTAATTAAATCGAACCGAAAAGGAAGATTGACATAAAAAATAAGAAATTCAAATTCTACGTCAAGGTTTATACCTCAGAAATGCCACACTCATTTTGTCTAAAGCATGCAAAATAAATCCATAGTTTATAAAATGTTATAAAACAAAATTAAAGTTGAAAGCTCAAACTTGCTTAGCACGAATCTTATTTTTGGATTATTTGAAGTTAGACACGCAGTTTGAATGTTTAATTTGCATTTTTAAAATTTGACTTAGGCAACTAAGGTCAGACTACAGTCACTGTCGAAATTAGACTGCTTTTCAATAAATCGTTTTGTATTGTAAGGATTCTTGATTTGTTCATGAATACTTCTTTCCGAATAGAACTGCTTGAAATAACGAGGAATTTTCAATACAGGATATTTAAGGCCTTTTTCAAATACTTTAGCGTTAAAAATTTTGTAGTTTCATGGTCATTCAATCATGAAAAATTTAGATAGCTAAATGAAACTTAGCACAAATCTTTCTCAATATTAAAACTGTATAAAGTATCTCCACTTCGGATAGTATTTAGAAATTAGGACTAAAGTATCATTCAAACCTTTAGCGCAGTTATCCTTTGGCTGGTCCACTATGTTCGTTGGATTCAGTAGTGAATCGGCTGTAGTTGCCATTGTTTTGTTCATTTCAAGACTGGGTGTTGTGAGAGAATCGCATTGCGGGGGAGTGTATGTATCTGAAAAGTGCGAAGTGTATAAATAAGACAAGCCACACTGTCTCTTGTCACCGTTTCCTGCGCCTCACCATTCCTTTTTCATGAAGTGCACTGTTTTCCTTCTT